CCCAAAGTGCTGGGATTACAGGCTTGAGCCACCGCGCGGCGTGTGTGTGTATGTTCAATCATGATAGGACATGGTTGTCCATACTTTAATCACATCTATTCAATGAAGTCTTTGTAAAAGGCCCAAGAGGACAAGGTTGGGAGCCGAATGCGTGGTGGTTCCTGGAGGCTGGCTCACCCTGAAAGGACATGGAAGCGCTGCACCCCTCCCCTGACACCTTTGCCTATCCATCTCTCCATTCGTATCCTTTGTCATATCCTTTCTAACAAACTGGTAAACCTAAGTGTCTCCCTGAGTTCTGTGAGCCGCTGTAACAAATGAATTAAACCTAAAGAGTGGGCTGTAGGATCCCCAACTTGAAGCAGGTTGACCATAAGTTCTGGAGGCTTGGGTTTTTTGGTTTTTTTGTTGTTGTTGTTTTGGAGACAGAGTTTCATTCTCGTTCCCCAGGCTAGAGTGCAATGGCAAGATCTTGGCTCAGTGCAACCTCTACCTCCCAAGTTCAAGTGGTTCTCCTGTCTCAGCCTCCTGAGTAGCTGGGATTACAGTTGTCCACTACCACGCCCAGCTAATTTTTGTATTTTTAGTAGAGATGGGGTTTTACCATGTTTGAGAGGCTGGTCTCGAACTCCTGACCTCAGGTGATCCTCCCACTTCAGCCTCCCAAAGTACTGGGATTACAGGCGGGAGCACCCACTGCCGGCCTAGGCTTGGGTTTTGACTGGTGTCTGAACAAGGTGGGTGGAGGCAGTTTGGGGGCTTGAGCCCTCAACCTGTGGCCTCCCGGTAGATGGTGTCACAATCAAATTAGAGCACTGATTGTCTGTTTGCTCGTAGGGAGAAATCCTCCGTATTTGGTCACAGAAGTCTTCTCTCTGTGTTGATTGTTGCTGTTGAGTGAGATAACAAGAACAAACACTCTTGAGTGTGTGTGTTTTCCCACACACAAGATCCCTATCTCCATTCTTCCTCCTACTCCAATCTCCCTTCTCTGAGGCTCTTAGACGCCCTCCCTTGCCCATATCCCCTCGGTGTCCTGCATTCCCCTTCTTTGCCCTCTGGCTGGAACCTAACAATGCTAAGTCTTCTTTGAAGTCAGATGCTACTTCTTAGCCTTCCTTTCCGAAGCTTGAGATTACTCCACTTAACGGCCATAGACTTGCTTTGTATTTATTAATGTATTTAAATTTATTTCCTATTTAGGGTAGCTGGCAGGTTTTTTTTTTTTTTTTTTTTTTTTTTTTTTTTTTTTTGGTGACGGAGTTTCACTCTTGTTACCCAGGCTGGAGTGCAATGGCGCGATCTCGGCTCACCGCAACCTCCGCCTCCTGGGTTCAGGCAATTCTCCTGCCTCAGCCTCCTGAGTAGCTGGGACTACAGGCACGCGCCACCATGCCCAGCTAATTTTTTGTATTTTTAGTAGAGACGGGGTTTCACCATGTTGACCAGGATGGTCTCGATCTCTTGACCTCGTGATCCACCCGCCTCGGCCTCCCAAAGTGCTGGGATTACAGGCTTGAGCCACCGCACCCGGTGCCTTTTTTTTTTTTTTTTTTTTAAGACGGAGTTTCACCATGTTGGTCAGGCTGGTCATGAACTCCTGAACTCAGGTGATCCGCCCGCCTTGGCTTCCAAAGTGCTTGGATTACAGGCGTGAGCCACCGTGCCTGGCTGGCAGGTATTATTAGTACCAGGTCTCCAGTACAATTCTAAGTAAGAAGTTGCTCCTTCTAATATTGGGGGCTACAAAAAGTAAAGACAGGCAGGTTGAGAAGGAGTGTTGGTATACCGGGGAAGTTAATTTGCTTGGTTCGTCTGTGTCCTAAGTAAAGATGAGACGCACAAGTGTAGAAATTCTGAGAAAGCTGGAAATACTGATTCAGTACATGGATGAGAGGTCAGTGTTTAAAGTAGAGATTTGAAAGTTGTTTGCTTGCAGTGGCTCAAGTGTGTAATCTCAGCACTTTGGGAGACCGAGGTGGGCAGATCATCTGAGGTCGAGAGTTCAAGACCAACCTGACCAACACGGAGAAACCCCATCTCTACTAAAAATACAAAAATTGGCTGGGCTTGGTGGCACATGCCTGTAATCCCAGACAATTGCCTGAACTCAGGAGGCAGAGGTTGCGGTGAGCAGAGAGTGTGCCATTGCACTCCAGCCTGGGCAACAAGAGCAAAACTCTGTCTCAAAAAAAGAAAGAAAGAGAGAGAGAAAGGAAGGAAAGAAGGAGAAAAGGAAGAAAGGAAGAAGAAGAAAGAAAAAGAAAAGAAAAGAAACAACAAAGAAAGAAAAAGAAAAAGAAAGTTGTCTGTTTTTGGAGGTGGCAGGAGAAAGCATGAGAATTAATGAGCCACTGAGGGGGAAGTGTGCAGGGCAAAGGAAAGGACAGACCTTTTTCACAGCTATCCAGGATAGCTGGGAAAGGCAAGAAGTACCCACAGGGACACGGGAGGGCTAGAGCTGTAGAAGATAATAGACAGAGATAGAAATCCAAGGAAAAAGAGTGAACAAGTAGAGAGCAGAAGCACAAGAGACATCCAGTAGAAGGAAGACTCAGAAAAGCCTTCAGTTTCCAAAGGGGGTCTTGGAATTACTGGGTATACTTGGAGATGGTGAACAGAAAGCAAAGAAATATGGCTGGGTGCGGGGGCTCACGGCTGTAATTCCAGCACTTTGGGAGACTGAGGATCTCCTGAGGTCAGGAGTTTGAGACCAGCCTGGCCAACATGGTGAAACACCATCTTTACTAAAAATACAAAAATTAGCCAGGTGTGGTGGCACATGCCTGTAGTCCCAGTGCCTTGTACTTGGTAGGTGTTCAATAAATATTGCTGAATGATAGAGATCAGGAATTAAGTCTAGACACTAGGAAGAGAGGCTGGCTGCAGAATGAAGGATACACTGGGTGTGGTGGTTCGCACCTATAATCCTAGTGCTTTGGGAGGCCGAGGTGAGGTGAGAAGATCACTTGAGGACAGGAGTTCAGGATCAGCCTGGGCAACATCATGAGCCCCCATCTATACAAAACATTAAAAAAAGGCCAGGCACGGTGGCTCAAGACTGTAATCCCAGCACTTTGGGAGGCCAAGGCGGGTGGATCACAAGGTCGAGAGATCGAGACCATCCTGGTCAACATGGTGAAACCCCGTCTCTACTAAAAATACAAAAAATTAGCTGGGCATGGTGGCGCGTGCCTGTAATCCCAGCTACTCAGGAGGCTGAGGCAGGAGAATTGCCTGAACCCAGGAGGCGGAGGTTGCGGTGAGCCGAGATGGCGCCATTGCACTCCAGCCTGGGTAACAAGAGCGAAACTCCGTCTCAAAAAAAAATTATCTATATAATTTTTTTTTTTAACAGAGTCTCTCTCTGTTGCCCAGGCTGAAGTGCAGTGGTGCAGTCTCAGCTCACTGCAACCTCTGCCTCTGGGTTCAAGCAATTCTGCCACCTCAGCCTCCTGAGTGGCTGGGATTACAGGTGCCTGCCACCATGTCCGGCTAATTTTTGTATTTTTAGTAGACAGGGTTTCACCACGTTGGCCAGGCTGGTCTTGAACTCCTGACCTCAAATGATCCACCTGCCTCAGCCTCCAAAATTGCTGAGATTACAGACATGAGCCACCATGCCTGCAAATATAATTTTAAAAAATAGAATTAGGGATAAGTATCTCTTTCTGTTAGACCAGAGGGAAGATTTATGAGCTAGAGATAAGGAAGAAACTCAGGCCTGCTAGCCCTTGGCGGAATGCTATGGTACACAGTGAAGACAGACTGCTGGTGGGCAGGCCTGTTAGGGGACTGAGGGCAGAAATCCCCTCCTGCTTCCATATAGGCAGCCAAGAGCTGGCCTGGGACACCAGCTGGGAGCTTTTCCCAGCCCTTTGCATCCCAACTCAGCCCTGTATACAATGAAGAAAGACATGACAGTGTGGTGACATGATTTAGGTTAATGAGCTACTACTGATCACCTGCCAAGTGGGTGGGAATTTTTTTTTCCTGCCTACTTTTGTAGAAAAATTTTTTATGAATGACTCATCTTGTCTCATTACTGTGAAGTACAAATTTGTGAGCTGGTAATAAGAGGTCAAAACCTAGGGAGAACATATCCACCCCCGCTCCCCAACACCCAGTTTCTGGTGGGTGGATATGCTCATTATCTTGATTGTGGTAAAAATTTCATGAATGTATACATATGTCAAAACTGTCAAATTGCACACTTTACATTTGTGCAGTTTACTGTTTGTCAATTATACCTCCGTGAGGCTGTTTATGAAAAGGAAGAATCTTATAGGTAAACTTTTTATAATCACAGTTCGGATATTTAATTTACTAACTTCCATATACAAATTTATCTAATTCATCTTTGCAGTCAAAGAGAAAGTCATTTCTATTTTTTTTACTATCACTTTTTTTTTTTTTTTTTTTTTTTTTTTGAGACGGAGTTTCGCCCTTGTTACCCAGGCTGGAGTGCAATGGCACGATCTCAGCTCACTGCAACCTCCGCCTCCTGGGTTCAGGCAATTCTCCTGCCTCAGCCTCCTGAGTAGCTGGGATTACAGGCACGCACCACCATGCCCAGCTAATTTTTGTATTTTAGTAGAGACGGGGTTTCACTATGTTGACCAGGATGGCCTTGATCTCTTGACCTCGTGATCCACCCGCCTCGGCCTCCCAAAGTGCTGGGATTACAGGCTTGAGCCATCGGGCCCGGCCCACTTTTTTTTTTTTAACGAGAAAGTCATTTCTAAAAAAACTGAACAGCTTTGCGCAGTGGCGGTATCATAGCCAATGAGTTTTTTTTGTTTTTTTTTTTTCATTTTTAGTTTTGTTAAAAAAAAATTCTGACAAATCAGAAATGGGGGTTCAGGAGTGGTGGTGATGCAAAAGATGGAAGCCATGGGGTGGGGGCTGTCAGGGATGGGGGCAGTAGTGTCTCCTTCACCCCCACCCTGATAATCCTCTCCTGAAGGCCAATCACATTCCAGAATTGGCGAGTCCTCTACCATGTCTGTTCAGTGTAGGAGGAGATGTCTATCTCATCAGGCAGCTCACTAATATTGACCTCAAAGTGATCCTGCACATCATTGAGAATCTTGGCCTCATTCTCATCAGACACAAATGTGATCGCCAAGCCCCTGATGCCAAACCGGCCTGCTCTGGCCACCCGATGCAGGTAAGTGTCAGAATCCTCAGGCATGTCATAATTTTTTTTTTTTTTTTGAGACGGGGTTTCGCTCTTGTTACCCAGGCTGGAGTGCAATGGCGCGATCTTGGCTCACCGCAACCTCCGCCTCCTGGGTTCAAGCAATTCTCCTGCCTCAGCCTCCCGAGTAGCTGGGACTACAGGCGTGCACCACCATGCCCAGCTAATTTTTGTATTTTTAGTAGAGACGGGGTTTCACCATGTTGACCAGGATGGTCTCGATCTCTTGACCTCATGATCCACCCGCCTCGGCCTCCCAAAGTGCTGGGATTACAGGCTTGAGCCACCGCGCCCGGCTGGCATGTCATAATTAAAAGCAATGTTCACCCGCTCAATGTCCATGCCTCGGCCAAATAGGTTGGTAGCCACAAGAATTCGTCGTTGAAAATCTTTAAACTGCTGATACCGAGAAAGCCTCTCCTCCTGAGGCATCCCACGGTGGATGGCTGGGAAGTTCTGCTCCACCAGTAGCTGGGCCAAGGCAATGCACCGCTGCACAGACTTCACAAAGATCACCACCTGGTTGAACTCAAGAACATCCAGAAGATCAAAGAGCTTCCGGTTCTTCTCGTTGTCCTTCAGTTTCACGTAGTACTGCTGCAATCCATGCAGCGTCAACTTCGTCTCATCATCCACGAAGATCTCCATTGGATCTTGCATGAACTTGCGGCAGACTGGTCGGATCTCTTTGCTCAAGGTAGCACTGAACATCATGACCTGCTTCTCGTGGGGGGTCATGCGAAAAATTTCCTGGACATCCCGACGCATGTTCAAGCATTTTATCTCATTCATCCAAAATAAAGTGTTTAATGTGTTTGAGGTTGAGGCTCTTATTTCGAGCCAGGGCGAGGATACGGCCTGGAGTCCCCACGACGATAGGCGGGCAGTTCTTCTTCAGCACCTCTTCATCCTTCTTGATAGACAGACCACCAAAAAACACAGCAACCTTGACATTGGGCATATATTTAGAGCAGCGCTCATATTCCTTGCTGATCTGAAAAGCCAACTCCCGAGTGTGACACATCACCAGCACAGACACCTGCCCAGTAACTGGCTCCAGCTGTTGCAGTGTGGCCAACACAAACACTGCTGTCTTTCCCATGCCCGACTTGGCCTGGCACAGGACGTCCATTCCCAGAATGGCCTGAAGGATGTACTCATGCTGGAATTCTGATGGATGCTCAAAGCCACAGTCGACAATGGCCCGGAGCAACTCTGGCTTGAGCAGGAAGTCACGAAAGCCAGAGCTGTGGATGGAGACATAGGAGCCCTTGACATCCTTCTTGGCAGGGGCCTCAGCCCCATCTCCCCCAGCTGCTGTCTCCGCCTCATCATCTTCATAGTCCCAGAGCTCATTGTCTACGTCGTTCTCTGCCATAACTGGGCCGGCAGGGGAAAAAGGGAAGGGGCCTCTGGATGGGTTCTAAGCAGGGAGAGCACGTATGGCGGCAGCAACAGCGACGAAGGAGGGAAATCTCGCCAATGAGGTTTATCCAAGGTGCGATTATTGCTAATTGAAAACTTTTCCCAATACCCCGCCATGATGACTTGAAATGCAGTTGGCATTGGCAATTTTTGACAGTCTCTATGGAGACTGAATAAAAAAATAAAATTAAATTAAAAAACTGAACAATGATTTGGGGGAGAACAAAGGACAGCCCAGGAGACTAAATACAGAGAGTGTCATTGTAGAATGTGTAACCACACACCGGATAAACTAGCCTCTCCCACTCCTGACGGGAGAAATGAGGAAAAAGCGTTTGCTTAGCTGGGGTGAGAATGTTGCATTCTTTTGTAAGCTTTTTGTAATTCTTTATCTGGTCGACTTTCTCGAGACCAGACTTTCCTTGTCCTCTTCAATCTACAGGAAATCCTCCCTTTCCTGTAGAGAGAAAGATAACTTTCTCCAACTGTTCTGCCACTCCGCTGGCCTCAGGGTTCTATTTCTTAGTCCCCCTGATGTGCTACAGAACTTGAGAGACACAAGTCTATCAAGTCTCTCAACCCCCTTATTATAAAAGGATACAGGCACACATCACCATGTGCGGCTACTTTTTGTAGAGAAGGGCTCTTGCTACGTTGCCCAGGCTGGTCTTGAACTCCTGATATCAAGCAATCCGCCCGACCTTGACTTCCCAAAGTACTGGGATTACAGGCTTGAGCCACTACACCCAGACATAAATTTGTGTTTTATAAGCCACTAAATTTGTGGTAATTTGTTATAGCAGCCGTAGAAACTAATGTAAATGGTACCTGACACACAGTAGAGGTTCAACAAGCATTTGTTACTTGACCGACTTCTACCTGGTACTTGAGCCAGTAATAAAAATAATACTTCACAATTTTTACTGTTGTACAATAGCAAAGTGTGTTCACAGTCTTAATCTTATTTTGTTGTCACACTTATTAGTCTTTATACTTTATAAAAATAAATATATATAGGCCGGGCGCGGTGGCTCAAGCCTGTAATCCCAGCACTTTGGGAGGCTGAGGCGGGTGGATCACGAGGTCAAGAGATCGAGACCATCCTGGTCAACACGGTGAAACCCCGTCTCTACTAAAAATACAAAAAATTAGCTGGGCATGGTGGCACGTGCCTGTAATCCCAGCTACTCAGGAGGCTGAGGCAGGAGAATTGCCTGAACCCAGGAGGCGGAGGTTGCGGTGAGCCGAGATTGCGCCATTGCACTCCAGCCTGGTTAACAAGAGCGAAACTCCATCTCAAAAAAAAAAAAAAATAAATAAATAAATAAATATATAAATATGTATGTGGGACTTTGGGCTATTGGGCAAAAAAAATATATTTTATACATATATTTTGTCTATATATATAATTTATATATATTTATATATAATTTATATATATTTATATATTTTATATATATATATATATATATATATATAAATAAAATTTTGAGAAAGAGTCTTGCTGTGTTGCCCAGGCTGGAGTGAAGTGGTGAAATCTTGGAAGTGGCGTGATCTTGGCTCACTGCAACCTCTGCTTCCTGGGTTTAAGTGATTCTCCTGCCTCAGCCTGTGAAGTAGCTGGGATTACAGGTGTCAGCCACCACGCCCAACTACATTTTGTTATTTTCAGTAGAGACGGGGTTCCACCATGTTGCCCAGGCTGATCTCAATCTCCTGACCTCAGGTGATGCACCGGCCTCCCAAAGTGCTGGGATGATAGATGTGAGCCACCGCTCTCAGCCACCACTCCCAAGTCCCATATATTTTCAAGCAAAAAGTAGATTTAGAACCAATATCCTTGTTTTCTCTTTAAATGACATTGTGTCAACAATAAATGACATGTAAAAAAAATCATTCATAATCCTTTTACTCCACTTAGTAGATGAACCAGTTTTATTTTTCCATGTCTTCAAGGTCTCATCTATACAAATACACATTAAAAATATTTATAACTGTATTGTGTATGTGTAAATATGTGCATATATTAAAAACTATATATAAACTACATAAACCATGTATGTGCATATATGTGTAGTTTTTATTTTTTCTGTTCAATATTATTTTATCACCCAGTGCATTGGTTTGAATTCTCTGGGAAGGAAATGCTCCAAGTTAGGAGCAGAAGAGGTTTACTGTGGATAATGGCTGTGAAAGATAAAGGGAGAGGAAGCAGGATGGCTAGGGAGAGCCTCAAGTCAGGATGTACATCTGACAAAGTCTCAGCCAACTCTGTGGGGAGACCTGGGACAAAGCTGGGCAGAAATGGCCAGGCTTCGGGATGCGCACCATGCTCAGTCATCGCCTGAGGCTGCCTGGGAAGAGTGTGGTCTTAAGATGCGCCTGATCGTGAATCCTGAAGTTGCCGCGGCTGGAAGCTGTGTTCACTCCTACAGCTGAACAGAAAGTTCTTCTGTGAAAGGAATCCAAGTGGCGTATCTCCATGGCTGCTCCAGTCCGCCCCTTGTATCATGTGGATTCACTTCTCCAAACATAACTGGGAAGGGCTTCTCTTCCTGTGAAAAACGTAGATGAGCGTGATTAGTGGAATAATATACAGTCCCCATTGCTGCAGGTGTTCTTGAAGCTGCACTGGGTACTCATTGTTTCCTTCCTCTACTCTAAGTCCCTCCTCCCTCAGCTATCACTTCTACTAGTCTCAGTGGCTTACTGATGCTGTGGCCCAAACTAATCCCTCATGTGTCTGTGGCCCCCTTCTCAGGCCAGGGTTGCTGCATTTATTCATTCATAGTCACAACTAAGCAAAATAATACCAAGAAATGCCTATGCCAGTAATCCCAGCACTTTGGGAGGGTGAGTCGGGGTGGATCACCTGAGGTCAGGCGTTCAAGACCTGCCTGACCAACATGGTGAAACCCTGTCTCTACTAAATACAAAACATTAGCTGGATGTAGTAGCGCATGCCTGTAATCCCAGTTACTTGGGAGGCTGAGGCAGGAGAATCGTTTGAACCCGGGAGGAGGAGGTTGTAGTAAGCCGAGATCATGCCATTGCACTGAAGCCTGGGCAACAAGAGCAAAACTCCATTTAAAAAATTTTTAAAAAGAGGCCAGGCACTGTGGCTCACACCTGTAATCCTAGGACTTTGGGAGGCCAAGGTGGGTGGATCACCTGAGGTCAGGAGTTCAAGACCAGCTTGGCCATCATGGTGAAACCCCATCTTTAAAAAAAAAAGAAGAAATGCCCAAGTGAGTCACCACACATATTCTTCCCTGCCCTGATTGTGTAACAGCAGCCTCACCTCTTCCCTGATCCAGGTCAGTTACACTGGCAGTATGATAGTGATAATTTCTCTTCTTGGTGATTCCTGAATACAAGGAGTTCAAAGTGCCCAAGTGATAGCCATACCATGTAACGCAATGTGACCTTTGCAGGAAGAATATGGCCCTTTGGGGATCAGAATGTCTCACCCTGCAGACCCCAGAGCTGCAGGAATAGGAGGCATAAAGTCCCTCAGTGGGTCACTGAGGGTGATGATAAGCAAGGCTATTCTTTTTCTGCTCCAGGTGTCACTCAGAGCTGGCAGTCTTTTGTGCCATCTAGTATATCAGTCTGAGCAATGTTTCTAGTGTGGAAAGTGTTGCCTTCAGAACCTGAAGAGACATGCCAGGTACTCTGATTCCTTCTTTGTGGTAGGGGATGCAAATTGCGAAATTTGTCTTTTTTTTTTTTTTTTTTTTTTTTTGAGACGGGGTTTTTCTCTTGTTACCCAGGCTGGAGTGCAATGGCGCAATCTCGGCTCACTGCAACCTCCGCCTCCTGGGTTCAGGCAATTCTCCTGTCTCAGCCTCCTGAGTAGCTGGGATTACAGGCACGCAGAACCATGCCCAGCTAATTTTTTGTATTTTTTAGTAGAGACGGGGTTTCACCATGTTGACCAGGATGGTCTCGATCTCTTGACCTCATGATCCACCCACCTCGGCCTCCCAAAGTGCTGGGATTACAGGCTTGAGCCACCGCGCCCGGCGCAATTTGTCTTTTACTTTAGAAAAGATGTCCTGGCATATCCCTAAAACACCAGACTCCTAAAACACTAAATGAGGTGGTAGTCCTCTGAATCTTAGAGATATCTTCCATAATCTGGAGAACATGTGTCCTTTTTTTTTTTTTTTTTTTTTTTTTTTAGATGGAGTCTCTGTCACCCAGGCTGGAGTGCAGTGGCGCCATCTCGGCTCACTGCAACCTCCACCTCCAGAGTTCAAGTGATTCTCCTGCCTCAGCCTCCTGAGTAGCTGAGATTACAAGTGCTTGCCACCGCCTCTGGCTAATTTTTGTATTTTTAGTAGAGACAGGGTTTCACCATGTTGGTCAGGCTGGTCTCAGTCTCCTGTCCTCAGGTGATCCGCCCTCCCTGGCCTCCCAAAGTGTAGGGATTACAGGCGTGAGCCACCATGCCTGGCCGGACGCATGTCTTACCAAAGCCTCTATCTAGTATGCCAGCTACTCTTGCTCATCCTGACTAACCGGCATGATGTCATTGATGTAATGGATCAAAGTGATGTTCTGCAGGATGTCTGAACAATCTCGATTGCTTCTGACTAGATGGGATGGATCCACTGTAAGCTGGACTTTGGCTGGTACTTTTTTTTTTTTTTTTTTGAGACGGAGTTTGGCTCTTGTTACCCAGGCTGGAGTGCAATGGCGTGATCTTGGCTCACTGCAACCTCCGCCTCCTGGGTTCAAGCAATTCTCCTGCCTCAGCCTCCTGAGTGGCTGGGATTACAGGCACGCGTCACCATGCCCAGCTAATGTTTTGTATTTTTAGTAGAGACGGGGTTTCACCATGTTGACCAGGATGGTCTCGATCTCTCGACCTCGTGATCCACCCGCCTCGGCCTCTCAAAGTGCTGGGATTACAGGCGTGAGCCACCGCGCCCGGCCGGCTGGAACTTTTTTACCCAGCCTTTATAAGCTCCCACTCCAGTAGGGGAGCAAAGGTGTTACTTTGGGACTATGTGTCAATGTCAGTTAAGATGCTGTGTCCAACAGTCCTCTGTGCACAGTCACCTGAGTAAATACTTACAAGTCCCCTTTTGAAAGGGCTGGAGAATCATCACAGTATATACTTACCACGGTGTTGCCAAGTCTTGAGGGACCTGTGTATCTCTA